TTAAAATTGTTCTAGATAATGAATCGAAATTACTGAATGATAAGGCTGATTACCAATAACCTGCAAGGAAACAAGTTGTCAAGAAAGACTCTAAAGTGACTTAGAGTTGAGCAGCAATGCAAGCTCTGCCTTCACTGGATTGCTTTGCCCTTGGACCCAATTACTCCAGCCAAGATTTCTAAGTTCTGCTCAACACAGAACCTCCCCTTCCTGCCCGGTGCTTCCCTTCTCTTACACTTCCTTCCTTCCCTTTGTTGTTTATTCCTTTCTTCCTTCCTTCCTTCCTCTTCTTTTTTTTTCCTTTTTAAAAATTTAATTGAAGGGACATGATTTTGGATAAGAGAAATGAGACCTCCGTGAGTACCTTTATCCTGTTAGGGTTCTCAGAATACTCACACCTCCAGGCACCGCTGTTCCTGGTATTCCTTGTCATTTACACGGTCACTCTTGTGGGAAATCTGGGCATAATTGTGGTCACAAGGATCAATCCCAAACTCCACACACCCATGTACTTCTTCCTTAGCCACCTATCCTTTCTGGATATGTGTTACTCCAGTGTATTTACACCCAAATTGCTAGAAATCTTGGTTGTGGAAGACAGAACCATCTCCTTCAATGGCTGCATGACACAATTTTTCTTTATCTGTGCATTTGTGATCACAGAAATGTTCATGCTGGCTGTGATGGCCTATGACCGATTTGTGGCTGTTTGTAACCCACTGCTCTACACTGTTGCTATGTCTCACAGGCTCTGTGCCCTCCTGGTAGCTGGGACCTACACATGGGGTGCACTCTGCTCCCTCACACTCACATACTCTCTTTCTGTGCTATCCTACTGTGGATCTAACGTCATAAATCACTTTGGCTGCGAGTACTCAGCCGTCCTCTCGCTCTCTTGCTCAGACCCCTCCTTCAGCCAGATGGCATGTTTAATCATTTCTACGTTCAACGAGACGTGCAGCCTCCTGATCATCCTTGCTTCCTATGCGTTCATCGTCATCACCATCACTAGGATGCCTTCCAAGGGTGGACTCCACAAAGCCTTCTCCACCTGTGCCTCCCACCTGACCGCCATCTGCATCTTCCATGGGATCATCCTCCTTCTCTACTGTGTGCCCAACTCCCAAAGCTCATGGCTCCTGATCAAAGTGTCCACTGTGCTGTTTACAGTCATGATTCCCATGCTGAACCCCCTGATCTACAGTCTCAGGAACAAAGACGTGAAAGAGACAGTCAGGAGGTTGTTCAACTCTCCCCTGTGTTTTCACTGCATGTAATTGAAATGCAGATATGGTTAGTTATTTCCAAACTTTGTGCACTGGTTTCTCCTGCATTACCTATGATAGTTGAAAGGTATTTAAAGTGAATATTACAGATTTTATACTAATAAATCTTGTTTACCTTATTTATCCTTATAGTGCCTTGTAAATACCCTCCCATAGTACCAGTATGTTTTATGCTACAAATAAAATATATTTTTATCTACTTTCTCAGATTTCAAGCAGAAGTATCATACATAATTGCCTCTGGATTCTGTCTAATCAGATTACAGAATAATAAACCTATATTCAGATATTCACCTTGGTGTTGTAGTTTAGATTTGAACTGATTTAATGAAAATGCTGCAGAGATCGTATTCACATTTGTAGTTCCTTACAAAAGTCAGCATTATGAACTCTTTTCACTCACTAAATTCTCTAAAATATTATCTTTCATTTTTATGAAGCAATATGAGAAATAGACACAGACACTTCCTACCTCTGTATAATATGAAGAAACAGGATTATGCTGAGGCCTTCCATGGCACGGAGATCCCCCCTCCCTCTTCTCTCTTTCTTTGTTTATTTCTATGTGTAGAGGCATATATATTTTTGTTTCTATTTATTTGTTTATGTACACACATAAAAATAAAAAACTGAGATCTACTACTGTAACAATTATAAATTCATACATTTAAGCAATATTAATCAAAATCTCCCTGTTTTAATCTGATGTGGGTCCTCCCATGTGTCACGCACCCTATGAAACAATCTGCAGCTCTAAAGTCAATATGATCCAAGGCCTTCTGAGGGCTTGCCAGTGCTGACACTGCCCTGTCCCCCAGCCATAGGATGCCATTGACCCTAGAGACCTCCAGTTCTGGCCCAGGGCTATCCAGTAGACAAGACCATGCAAGTACAGCTCATTAGAAGTACTGAACACCAGGTTTTATTTGGATTTCACTAAATTTATTTTATTTTCTTAATTAATGCCATGTTTCTTTTCCTGAATCTGGTTCATGTTACCATATAATATTACTAGTCATGTCTTCAACTCTCCCTCAGCTTGTCAGTTTCTCAATCTTATCTGTTACAATTTAGCTTTAGGGATCCTGGGTAAGTGTCCATTAAAGGTACCCACAGTTCAGATTGCCAGTAACTTTTCTTACATCCAAGAGGGATTGTGTGCTCTGGAATAGTGGATTAAGCTGCTGTCTTCAATGCCAGTGTCTCATGTGGGAGCCAGTCCAAGTTCCAAGTTCTACTTCCTATCCAAGTCCTTGCTGATGCACCTGGCAAAGCAGAGGAGGGTGGCCTGAGTGCTTCGGCCCCTGCACCTGCAAGGTTCAGTCTCTGTAACTGTGCCTTTGAAATGAATAGATCAAGCCTCACTTCGATGGGATTTCACCATCCCACCACTGTATGGGGGGTGCATGACATCCATGTTTCACAATGATGATAGTGATCCATTGAGGTTGAAAGGTCCATTTGCAAGACTGTGAATGTGAAATGCAGTTAATATTAGCTACTTCTGGATTATTATTCACATTTTCTTATTTATACACTATTATACTGAGTTTTTTCAGTATACAATTTTAATAATTCAATTCTTAAAAGTAGTTAATGGAGAGTGCTTTCATTTTCCAAATAGTTTCTTTTCTCTTGTCAAATGCATCACTGGTTCATGATCACATGCTGGCGTCATTTTACCCAAGAAGCTTTTGCATTTTCTTTTCCTCACCCATGCGTTGGTTATTCAGTGACACACTTTTTTGACTCCATAGTGCTGTAATTTTTTTTGTTTTAATTTCATACCTGTTGTTGAAGTTGTTTCATAGCTTCTCGTTTTTTTAATGGTTTCACATTTAAGGGAATGTATAGTGATGGCGTAATAGAGACTACCATATCTAGATGTGAAGATACAATGCACCTATTCCAAATCAAAGATGGACTCTCCATGAAACTGTTGGACAATCATGACAATGGGATGCTGGGATGTCTGACATTGTCTGTACCAGCAATGTCACAGCACACGTGGGGAAAATCAGTTGGGAGACAGGAATGTTGGGTTGGTCCAGGGGAATCCCAGACCCTATTGAATTGCACCATAAAATTTTTTTTTAAAGTAGTTACTGGTGATGTAATCATCTCCTAAGATTCAGCAGACGCGTTTATTATAATGACACAAGAGACAACATTTCAACTAATTTTATGCTAGGTGCCACTGAGAAATACACTAACCAAAATCCTCTGGGATCTCTCTCACCTGTGAGCCCATATACAAACCCAGAATTTAATAAGAGTTTAGACTGTGGATTTAGCTTTTTGTTGTTGTTATTCATTGTAATTAGTAAGTTTTATTAGGTTCTGGAGATAAATATCAATTTACTAGCATATTATTGATAGGAATTGCCTCTTTTGTTAAAAATTTCCAGCTCGTTCCTCCTAATGAAGCTTAGTTTTTCTCTTCAAAGAAGTCCTTAGTGAATTTATCAAGTGCTTCTTGGTTCAGGTCAGTTTCTGTATCTATTGACCCCATTCAATTCAAGTGAAATGCATAGGTGCCTTGGTCCCAGAAATTACCCAGATGTTAAATAGATTCCCTTTTATGATCAGGTGCACCTTTATGTATGTTCTCAGGTAATGAAGACTTTTTTCTGAATTAAATTATATTTTCAGAAACTGTCAGCAATGTTACTATTGATAAGTAGTTAAAAAGAGTCAGAAATTCATCTGAAGTCTTCTTTTATGTTATTGATTTGAGTACAGTCCTGATTGTAAATGGTGGCTACAAAATTCTTTGGAATGTATATGGTTTAAACAGCAAGTCTTTTTTTTTTTCTGAATTTTTGATTGTGGTTGTTATTGACCTAGTAAGTTTGCCAAGGAGCCAGAGCACAGTAGTAGCCTTTTATCAGTAACATCCAAAATTTGAAGCGGTACTGTTTTATTGAAACAATGTGAACAGTAAGTGGATATTTGAAAGGTATCCACTTGGGCTGGTGTGGTGGCTCAGTGGGTTAGTGTGCCACAAAGGCCCACCTGCTACTCTAAGGAGGGTGTTCTGATGATCCGGAGGGGGCCACAGATTCAGTGACTCCTAGAGTTCAGTCATTGGACTGGCACTTATTTCAGGCAAAGCTGAGAAGACAGAAAATTATACCCATGTGTCTGCAGCAGCCTCATGACCTTGTCTTCATTTTTGTTTCATATCAAGAGTATTTATTTTATTTAATCATTGTGTTCACTTCCCTATCTTCCCCATATTTTCTTCATAATGAAACAGGAATCATTAGCAATTGGTTAAAAAATTATATGATTTTCACTGCATCATAGAACCTGTGCTTGGGAAATTCTATAGGTAAATTCATGTTTCTGTGCTGTGGAAAAAAGTATAGATGGATTTCAAAATCTTTGGAACCAAGAAGATCTTAATTATACTTTACCATGAAAACTCTTAAGTGGTCGAGTGTTTCCTCTCCTGCTGGTTCCTGGACTTTATCCCAAATCCCCATCCTGGGAACGTCTGGGGAAGCCATCAGTATGGGCTTCAAAGCAGAATTTTTGATTCAGAAGATTGATGAAGGGTTATGTTGCTGGTATTGGTTTGGGAATCAGTTTTTAGGATCACTTTCATATCATTGCTCTCAGTAACCCATTATCTTTGTTTGTTTCTCCTGTCTATTCAGTTCTGGTTTTAGGATTACATTTGTTTTTAACTTTAATCCAACAGGAGTCATAATGTCATCTGAAGGCAATCGAAGCAGCAGGCCTCACTTTACTCTCTTGGGATTTTCAGAATACCCGCAACTCCAGGTTCCACTCTTTTTGTTTTTCTTGTCCACCTACGCAGTCACTGTGGTGGGGAATCTGGGGATGATAGTGATCATCAGGATCAACTCCAAGCTTCACACAGTCATGTACTTTTTCCTTAGCCACTTGTCCTTTATTGACTTCTGTTTCTCCACGGTGGTCACACCGAAACTGTTGGAGAACTTGGTTGTGGAAGACAGAAGCATTTCATTCTCTGCTTGCATCCTGCAGTTTTCTTTCATCTGTGTCTTTGGAGTAGCAGAGACCTTCATGCTAGCAGTGATGGCCTATGACCGCTTTGTGGCGGTCTGCAACCCCTTACTGTATACTCTTGTGATGTCCCGGAAGCTTTGTGTTCTTCTGGTGGCTGGGTCTTATGGATGGGGGATTGCGTGGTCGATTACTCTCACGTATTTTCTTCTAACATCGTCCTACTGTAAGTCTAGCATCATAAATAATTTTATCTGTGACCACTCTGCAATTGTTTCTGTCTCCTGCTCGGACACCTACATGAGCCAGATGCTGTGTTTTGCTTCTGCCGTGTTCAATGAGGTGAGCACCCTGATGATTATTCTCACGTCATATTTATTCATTTTCATCACTATTATGAAGATTCCTTCTGCAGGTGGCCGTCAGAAGACCTTTTCCACCTGTGCTTCCCACCTGACTGCCATCACCATCTTCCACGGAACTATTCTTTTTATTTACTGTGTTCCTAATCTTAAAACGTCTTGGCTCTTAGTTAAAGTGGCGTGCATGTTTTATGCAGTGATGATTCCCATGCTGAATCCATTGATCTATAGCCTTAGAAATAAAGATGTGAAGGATACATTAAAAAAATTAGTTGCCACCTGATCGGATCATCACACAATTTGATCATTTTAGTTTTAGTATTTACTTCTGAAAAAAATATTGACCTATGCTAGAGATTTCCCAACTTTGGGGGTATAATTGATCATTTAAATGAACCAATGATGGTAAGTAGTAATTGTACCAATCTGTGGTGTCAAATGGATATGTCGGTATATGTTCACTTTGCAGAATATTGAAAGCGTGTTCTTTTGATATTCCCATCACATTACATGCTTACTTTCAATGATGAAAACACTTGAAATTTACTCTCTTTGGCTATTTTGAAAAATAAAATGTGTTATTATTAACTGTGGCCACCATGCTGTGAAACATATCACTAAAATTTTCTTCATTTATTTACCTGTAACTTCTACCGTTTGCTTAATATCTCAATTTTTCTCGTTTTTAGCTATCAATTTTTAACTGTGATTCCATGTGCTTCAGAGTTTAATTATAAGTTATATGTATATAACTATATATATATATATAAAACAATGTATGCAACCATATAACATCATATAGTGTGTTAGGAACACTGTATATGGTTGGTGGGAAAATGAAAAAATTAAGATTGCTTTGTGATTCAATAACTTACTTCTGAACACAGTAATTATGATCAGCGTGTTGAAGAGATATCCTCCATGTTCATGTCAGAATTACACAGCACAGAAAAGCAATGGATTACTGCATGACCTCAACAAGATAGTATGTCATTTGTGAAAACATGGATGAATTGGACGACCTATTCCTCTGAACTATTTTTCTGTTTACTTGCTGAGCTCTCTGTTCAGTGGAACATCAAATCTTTGACTATATGTACATGAATCATAGGTTATCTCAAAAAGTAAAAGGCGGGAAGGCATAGAGAAGAAAGAGAAAGGCATAGTGAAGAGGGCCAAGAAGAAGGGAAGAACTGTCATTATGTTATTAGGACTGTTTTTGATGAATTAAATCGAATCAGTTTCTGTATTAGTATTACATCAATATGGTAAATTGTTAACCATGTTGCAGTAATTATTACATATTTGCTGTGGCTCTGAGAATTGAATGTACTAGTACAAATTCTTTAAATAAAAGATAAAATTTAAAAAAATGTTAGTGCAGGGAGGATTTTGCTCTGCAGCTGTCTTCTTCTTTCTGGTGTGTAGAAAACCAGGTTTAAATCACTGGAGTTAAAATGGAATAAGACAATGACTGCCAGAGAATTATCTTTGATTTTCCTTTAATTTCACTTAATTTAAAAGGCAGAGAAATTGTAATAGAGAAACACAGAGACAGGGGCAATTGCAAGAGATAACTCCCATACACTGATTTGCTTTCCAAAGGCACACAAAAGCTCAGGCTCAACAGGTTGAAGCCAGAAGCCAGAAACTCTATCCAGGTAGCCAGTGGGCAGAGGGCCCTGCTGTGACCTGCTGCTTTGAAGGATTTGTATTAGAAGTTTCTTGATCAGAAGCACAGCTAAGTTTTGAACCTGAACACTATGATACAGGATGTCAGCAACCCAAGTGCCATCCCCACCACCACGTCAAATGTTAAATTCCTGGAAACACGTTATAGGGTTAGCTCCTGCCTAAGACGCTTATGGGGTGCAGCCAGTGATAGCCAGCACCCTTTGACATTTAGGCAAATGGAATGTGGCTGTTCCCCCCCCACCCACCCACACACACACACACTCTGTTCACAGGTTGGTGGGGTTTGTGAAGCTTCAGTGCCTCCGGACCTTCCCTTCCTCCTTCCTGATAAAGGTTGTGGTTGTACTGTGTACCTTTCAAACTAATTGGAAGGTGAGGGCTTAAAACCCCTGGCTTCTGCCATGCGGTGCAGTAGTTCTTGGAGTGTAGCGGGAGCTGCTGTCCCCAGGCCTGGGCAATAAAGCCTGCTCCTGAACATGCTACAGCTGAGTCCGCTGTGCTCTCTCTCGCACCCTGCAACAAGACCTCATTTTTCAAAACAAAGAAGCAACAAAGTTTTTCAGACTAAGAGTGCTGAAATAATATGTCTTCAGCCGACTTGTACCTAAACAGCTCATAAGGGAGGCTCTTCCAGCAGAAACACATGAGAAGGCTCTTGTAAAGAATTATAAACTATGTCAAATTTACCTACTGAGTCACCCTTGAGATGAACTGGCTGTAGGGCATACTGTATTCGATCCCAGATCATAAAATACATTGATTCCTTTCAAAATTTAAAAAGGAATCAGAAACAATTCACAGTTCATCTTTCAAATTCTCAAATTTCAGTTTGAAAACATCTGGATCACCTAAACATGAACCTTCCTTCTCTTAGTAGGTTACACTGATGTTGCCATTGTAATTGTACAGGACAAACAGTTGTGACCTGTGTGCTGGGGGCCTTAAAGGGGGCTTAAACAAGAAGTAATGTGACTGCAACATCAATGACATATTTAGGGCTAAAGTCATCTGGAGCCTTTCCTGAGTACTCACTCCAAAATAAAAGTGTTCTTACAAAACAGTCCAAAAAAAGCTTCATTTTTTGGGGGAACCCATCAGAAGTGAGGAAGCACAGCACTCAGACAATCACTGTTTAGAGAGAATGTAACTAATAAATTGTTGTTGTCTGCAGTCCTCATTTATATCAGGTATGACGGTAAAGGTAATGACAGTTGCTTTTCAACAAACATGAGAGTGTGATTTCCATTCCTGTTGTGTGTGTGGGGAGAATGCTGAGGTGCTTCTAATCATTACAGCAGCTAATAGGAGACCTTTCATTTGATTGGATGATGCTTTGCTGCATTGTGTAAGATTCTGTGTGTGTTCGTTAGGAGGAAGAGTAGTGGGTTTCAATGCAGTCTGATGGACTGTTCCCTGGTGGGCGGTAGCCTGGGGACCACTTCCACACTGTGGAATGAAGACATGAAGGAAATGGACACCCAAAGTATACAGCACTGGGGTTTTAAAATACATGTTAGGCATGGTGGATTGGAGAAGGAGACAGCTGCTAGTTTTATACGTGTGAGTGTTCTGTAGCACAGGGTCTTCATCCTGGTGGGCTGAGAGGAGGTCTGTGTGGTTCCTGTAGGGCATTCCAATCATTCCTGAAGAGAGGAGCCCTGGATGATCTGTTCTGGACTCACTGTCATTCTGCCTCAGGCCAGCCTTCTGCTCTGCCCTGCTAATATAAAGAAGCTGCCATGTTATGAGGTGACCTGCAGAGAGAACAGTGGGATAATGACATGGCTGAACACTGGCCAGCAAGAAGATGAGTTCTGTTAACCATTTGGATGGGCCTCTTTCTCTAGTTTAGCCTCTGAAAAAATCATGGTTTAAGTGTAGTCTGATAAAACCTTTAATCCTACTAAAACCCCACATAAGCATTGATGTGATGTCCACAAAAAAATGGTGAAATAAAAGTGTGTACTCATTTTAGCTGCTGATCTGATAGAATCATAACACAGGGAAACAACACATGAGGTGACCGAAGGCTGCTGGCTTTGGTTGGCTCTGAGGCAGGGCAGAGGAGGTACGATGTGGAGCTTATGTCAGTGACCTTGGGAGAATATCAACCCAGATACCTGTCAACCTGCCACAACAGGATGCCTCCTTCTAGGACAAGAATTCTGCGTCCTTGGATATGTCAGTCTCCACTGTGCTGTCGGTCCCTGTGAGAGAATCTAGAAAGTGATGGTTGACTTGACAAGTCAGCTTGTCAAGATTGCAAGGATCTAAGTGTAGAGTGAGAGTGCTCTTTGACAAATAAATAAAGAAAATGAGAAATTGAAGTAAACGTGCATATTTTCCATGAGCTTTCTGAAGACGCTTCATATTTGTCTTTCTTGAATGTATGGATACCTTCACACCAGTGGCTTTAGAGAGTCAAATATGGTCCCAATACATACATTTTAGTAAGCCAGACAGGAAATCACTCCATTTCTGCCTCTATCTGCATTCTCTTTGGATGTTTTGTATGTATTAAAAGTATTAGTCAAATTTTAGCATACATAACTATAAATTTAGTCATATTATTTCATTATTTTGTTGTATTTTATTAAGCTTGGAAACCCAGTATCCTCACATTTGGCAAAAAATGCAAATTATATTCAATAAAGAAAACCAATGGTTCCAAAGACTGTTGTATATTTCATGTTTAATGAAAAAAACAGAATGAACATTCTTTTTTATATTTTTTGTCTCACCACACACACACATGAAAATAGATAAAAATGAAATAAAAAGCTATCAATGCCATCCTACTTGTTTCATTTTACTTATCTCTCATGCTTTTTAAGGCAATTTGTGTATTTTGTTCCTATAGGTAAACCTTCTAAATTAAAATAATGATACAGGTTTGATGAAGCTTGATTTTTAATAATTTAAGAAATTGTATTGTTTTTTTTTTAAAAAGATTTATTTTTTATTATTTTTGTATTGGAAAGGCGGATATACAGAGAGGAGAGACAGAGAGGAAGATCTTCCGTCCAATGATTCACTCCCCAAGTGACCGCAACGGCCGATGCTATGCCGATCCGAAGCCAGGAGCCTCTTCCGGGTCTCCCACGCGGGTGCAGGGTCCCAAAGCTTTGGGCCGTCCTCCACTGCTTTCCCGGGCCACAGGCAGGGAGCTGGAAGGGAAGCGGGGCTGCCGGGATTAGAACCGGCGCCCATATGGGATCCCGGGCGTGCAAGGCGAGGACCTTTAACCACTTGCGCCACCGCGCCGGGCCCGAAATTGTATTGTTTTTAAGTTACCACCTAGAAAGGTATGGACTCTAATTTCTGAATTTGTATTCCAAAGATGAGGAGTATTTCCTACAGAATCTCTGGAGTCCAAATTTCTATGGTCAGCTCCCCATTTAATTCCTAACAGTCAGAATCATCTCCTTATTCTCTCTCCTCATCTAGCCCTTCTTTTGCAGAAATTTCTGGGTATTATGAATGAAACACATTATTGAATTATTAATTAGCACTTATTGTGAATTATTGTCATATGCACTAATTTGTTGATGGGTTCAGTACTGTACCTTAATCCTGAGTGGGAGTTTT